ATTAAAATTATTAAAAAAATAAAATAAAATGTAAATTTAAAAAATGAAGAAGGTAATATATACTCCAAAGTACTGAGGAGCAATGATGTCATTTAGGTGACTAAGGTGTGCCTGATCCAGGCCATAGTCTTAGCAGTTACTTGGTATACATAAGAAAGCTGGACAAGGGCAAGGGATGATAGAAGTAGAATTGATGCCTTTGAGCTGTGGTGCTGAAGAAGAGCATTTAATATACCATGGACTGGTAGGAGAACAAACAGGTTTGTCCTAGTGCAAGTGAGACGAGGCTGTTCCTTGGAGGCAAGGATTCTAAAGCTTTGTCTGATATCCTTTGGACATCTTGCAAGAAGGAACCAGTCCTTGGAGTGGCATGTCATGCTTGGGAAGGTGCAGGGACAGCGCAAGAGAGTAAATCCCTTAATGAGATGGTTTGATTCACTGACTAGGGTAATGGGGGTAGATGTATTAGAGACAATAAGATTGGCACAGGATAGAGCAGGGTTTAGGGCTGTTGTACATATGGTTGTCATGAGTCACAGATGACTCAATGGCACATGACAACAGCAATATATATTCATTTTACAAATAAAGAAAATGAGATAGACATTAACCACTTTGCTTGAGGTTAAAAGGCATGACCAGGATTTGAATCTAGGCAATCTGATGATTCCAGATGTCATTCTCACCCAGTATAGTCTACTGCCTCTTGAAAACAAATTGACCTAAATGTATTTTTTTCTGTATGAGGGCTGACATTTTATTTTGTAGAGTTGTATTTTCAAAGCCCTGCTAAGTTGAAAAATGCATTGTCTTAAATATTTTGTTATATTTTATTGTAACCAAACTATTTTCTTTGGGTAACTATTGATTCAAAAATGAAAATGCAGTTGATTTGTTTGATTAACAGTCTGTGTTTGGGGTTGGGTTTTTTTTTTGTTTTTTTCAGATCGTGTTTTTCATAGTAATGAAACTACTAAAAATGTGTATGAAGAAATAGCAGTACCCATCATAGAAGCTGCCATACAAGGCTATAATGGTTTGTATTCACTGCAGTCTGCAGTAACATTTTAGGTTTTGTGTGCTTCGTCAACAAATTATAGCCATTTTATACACTGTGTATTTGTTTCTAATCTATGTGTTGTGTGTGTTTTGCTTTTTTCCAGGTACTATATTTGCTTATGGGCAGACTGCTTCAGGAAAAACGTACACTATGATGGGGTCACAAGATTACTTGGGAGTAATACCCAGGGCAATTCATGATATTTTCCAGAAAATTAAAGAGGTGAAATACTTAGCTAAATTTATACTGCATATTAGTAAGAGTGTAATCAGATGGCAATTCATTCTTTCTTTCTCTCTCTCATCTCTCTCTTACACACACACACACACACACGCACGCACATCTTTTTCATCTCTTCCCTTCTCTCTTCTCCTCCTCCCTTCAATTTATCTGTTATTCTTCATTGCATATTTATGAAGTTTCCTCTTGCAACCCCTTTTCATGGAATCGAACACTAGTCTTATGTATGAATCACCACTATAAATTATATAAAGTGTTTTCCTCTTGTAATGATAAAAGAATGTAGAATTTTATTTCTCTCTTCCCCCCCTCCCATGTTTTTACTGGTTTACATGCACTCATTGTGTTTCATACATATACAATATACCATGTGTTTTATACAAGCTTTCATTTGCATTGTTTTGTTCATGTAAATTGTATTTTATACAGTCATCCATAAACATTGTATTTTATTTAATTCTTGAGCTGTCAGATCATGGGTTGGACAATGGAAGATATTTTCTGAAGGGACTTGGCAGATGTGAAGGGTTATCCTGGTGGAGGGTGGAGCTGGAAAGTAAGTGGGTCAAGGCTCTGGGCTAGGGGTGGGGTCAACACTGTAATAATGCTTAACTCCACAATAAGGGATTTATCTTTCACTGCTTCACAAATTGCTTGTCTGTCAGATACTCCTCTAAATCTGAACATTCAGATTAAGACAGACTAGGAAGAAGGATTGGCCACCCACTTCTGAAATAGCAGGCCTCTGAAAACC